AAAAAAAAAAAAAAAAAAAAAAAAAAAGATTGGAGCATACATTGTTAAAAAAAACAAAAAAAAGCTTTAAGCTTCCGCTCCGACTCTATCGCAGCGCTGTGCAAAGAATAATGGCCGGGTCGTCTCATAAAACAACGTGAAAAAAAACAGAAAAAAAAGAAAAAGTAAAAGAAAGCAATCTCACAAAGAAGTAAATTCGAGCCAATTCGGCAAAGTTAGAACGATGCACCTGGTTGTCATATCGACCAGGTTCGGACTCTCTCGCACTTAGCACAGACAGAGAGCTGGCGGTGTCAATCTCTTAGCCACTCAGGAGAAGGTGTGGGTGGGGGGGCGGTTTCACATTTCCTCAGAAAATCCACTAGCTTGGAACCAGGCGCCACTACAGATCGTGCTCTATATTTTTCCCATATATCTGGTCATAATACTGGCAAGGCTCATGCAAACATAGAACCCGTCGCGCACGTCCCTTTCTCTGAATCCAGCAACCAATCACAGACAATCGTCGATTCCACGTCATCCTGGCCAGATTACCTACTCCGTCTACCTCCGTCCGAGCCCACTTTCTTCATCCGCCGCCTCCTCTTTCAGCTGCTTCCCGCTCTCCTACGACTCATATTCATCCCCCTACTTCTCCCAACTAATGTTACCTCTCCTCCTCCTCCTCCTCCTCCTCCTCCTCCTCCTCCTCCTCTTCCTCAGCTTTCTCCTCCTGCGAGCTGCTTCCCCATCTCCTACGACTTCCTCCTACACATCTTCTTACCACTCCCAACTAATGTTACTCTCCCTCCTGCTCCTCCTCCTCGTCCTCTTCCTCCTCCTCCTCCTCCTTGTCCTCCTCCTGTTTCTCCTCCTTCTGTTCCTCCTCCTTCTGTTCCTCCTCCTCCTCCGACTATCCACCTTTCTCTTTCAGCTCCTCTGACTCCCGTCTCCTCTCCCCGACACTCCCTTCGTCCTTGTCCTCCTCCTCCTCCTGCTCCTCCTCCTCCTCCTCTTCTTCTACCACCTCCTCCTTCAGCTACTCTCACTGCCATTCATCTTCATCCTACATCCTCTGTTTCCCGCCAAACACAAAACAACCTCGGTTTCCCGCCAGGAAAAAAAAAACACACACAGCCTTATTCTCGGCTCCTGTTCCTCTTCCACCTCCTAAACTTTTCTCACTCCCATTCACCCTCATCCTGCACCTTCTGTTTCCTGCCAAACAGCCTTGTCCTCCTCTCTTGTTACTCCACCTGCAATTACTCCATAGCTCCTCCCCTCCTCCTCCGCCAACTACTCCCACTCTTGCTCTTCTCTCCTCCTAAGGGCCTTGTTCCTTCTTCCAGTCCCCTCTGAGCCCTCTCCTCTCACACCCACTGGTCCTCCCAACACCACATCCTTTCTCTCTCCTCGCACAATTTCACAACCTGGGGCCAACATGTTATGCACTGTTTCTACCCCCATGGTCAAAAACTCGGCACATCGACATACCCCAGGGACATTTCTTTATTTATGTATTATTGATTTATATACTTTTATTTATTTACATATTGTTTATTAATTTACTAGGCTACCAGCCAGGCGGCCCGGGTCACCTTGTTTGTCCGGGCTACCCGGCTTTGCAAGGACCATAGAAGCTTCAGACCAAAAAATATATATATATATAAAAGATCTGGGGAAAGGAAAATGTTACGCAGAAAAATAAAGTAAACTTTTGCCTCTGGGTCACATCGAAATTCTTTACCAAATTTGACATATTTTTATTTTTATTTTTTCAGTTTTTTTGGCCCAGCCAGGCAAGTTGCCCCAGGCCACTCTGGTAGCCTAGTTTATTTATCATTTTTATTTTAGCCCTGTTCTACTCTAGGCTAACAAACAGAGTGGCCCGGGACCAATTGCCAGGCCAGGCCAAAAGATAAAAAATGTTATATAATTATATTTATTTTTATATTAAATTTGGTAAAGAATTTCCATGTGACCCTGAGGCAAAAGTTTGTTGAGGGGGGACATTGCAGCCGTTAAAATCAGAGGGGTAGGGGGGGTACCCGGAGTGCGCTCCAGCGACGCCGCAAATTTTTGTGCTGCTTCGGGTTTTACTGTGGTTAACCTAATTTCACCATAGCCAGCCTACCTTTCCCTCCCAACGTGGAGGCAAGGGGCAGCATCTCCTTCCACATTCACTGGGGCGAGTACCCTGCCCACTCTGGAGAGGAGGAATGCGCGGCAGCCGGTTACCCCTACACCTGCCAGCATGAACAATTCACGCGAGCTATTGCCAAGCCCTTGAATGAGTTACGAACATTCACTACCAGCGAAGCGCTGTGCTCCGCTACAGCATGGGTCTACAGGCCCTGGAACTCTCACTCTCGTTTTACTGCGTGACGAACGGTGTCAACTCCTGGACAATCGGACTGCTCATCACCAATGCGAAGGTAAAACTCTCAACTCCGCTGATGCATTCTGGATAAGTCGGGTTTTCCCCTTACTCCGGCTTCTCTCTTCTTCACAGGGCGAACTCCGTCCTTTCAATCTCAACGGCACAGACCCTTCATTGGCTGCTCAACAGGGATTCCTGCAGGACAACCAAGGGAGGATCACCCCGCTTGGCGAAAAGGGCACAACTGTTCCTGCTGGAGTCCCTGTCGGCGATGGCATGGACTTAGACAGGTTCCTCAAAGCTGGCTCCCCGAAAAGAACCAAGCCAGAGGATTTTGAAGACAGTAGACAGCACTCCTCCTCCCAGGGTGATGCAGGACCCAGACCACAGCAGTCCGGGGCCTGCATTGTAATCCCAGTACTGCTCAAATCCAGAAATCAGGGCCCCTACATACTGCTCTTAGCGGACTCCCATTGAGGGTACACAATCCCAGACTCCCTGGTGTCTACTCCCCCAGACCCAATGCAGCTTTACAACATGGGAAAGAAGATTGTGCACAATGTATGCGCTATAAGGCCAATGCCCCACCACCCGCTGATTTCTTTCAACAAGATTGGTGCCTCCGGCAGAATCCATGCCATCCACGCCTTGTGCCTGGACACTCTGATTCTCCCGGGTGGTCCACATCCCTCGTCTGGTACTAACTTCTACTAGGCTCCTCTCTCTTGGTTCAAAGAAACCAACGACAAAGAGAGGCTGATCCCAAAAACCGGAGACGGGATCAGAGGAGACATCATAACGGAAATCAATAACGCTCTACAAACGGACAAGAAAATCTTCAATCTCAGCTTCACTGACCTGTTGAAGGCAGCTTGGGACCCAGCCTTGCTGAGCCCCGCCCCAATCAACAGACAGTTGCCTGGCCTGTTCATAGTCCAGGCCGCCATCCAACAGCAGGCCCCACCCTCAGGTTCAGATGGGCTCCCCGGTTAAGGTGGCCTCCTGGAATGTGCGAGGACTAGTAAACAAAAACAGGAGACACAAGCACGCCAGACTTAAATCTTGGATTCACGGCAACAGGGCACAAATTGTCTTGATCCAGGAAACTAAGGTTAATAATGAAAGATTGGCGGAAATCAGTAACTGGTGGTCAGGACCCCAGATCTGGGCCCCTGCAGAGGACACCAGGGGGGGCACTGGGATTCTGATCCACAACTCCATCTGCAGAACCATCTCCCACGCGAACTTTGATCTGTGTGGAAGATGGTATTTCGTCGCACTGCATATCGATTCTCGTGAATGGACTTTCCTGCAATTCTATGTCCCTGCCGACCACACAACAAAAGTCGAGTTCTTTAATCAACTCTCTTAAGTAATACCAGAATCTGAGTTTCTGGTGGTAGGTGGGGACTGGAATACGGTGCCCAATGAGGTGGTGGATTTCTCCTCTCCTCTCTCTCACCCAGGGGAATCCATAGCCCTGAACGAACTACTCACTAAAAAAGGGTTGTTTGATTCATACTGGTTGCTGCACCCGGACCAAAGGAAGTTCACATGGTTATCGTCCACCACACCCGTGGTTAGCAGAAGATTGGATGCAATCTTCTGCTCCGAACAGGTCATCCCACTCGTTCTTCAAGTTGATATCACGCCAGACCCAATGTCTGACCACAAACCAATCACAATTACATCATCAGCAGTGCCCCCCCTTAAAAGAGGAACGGGTACTTCCAAACTAAATATGCAGATCTTTAACGACAACAAAATGATCGAGTGGGTGAGGAACTTCTGGGAAGAATGGAGAGCCTCGTCAAATCTGTTTCCTGACGCAGGGGACTGGGTAGACAGGGGCATCCACCTCCTCTCAGGGTTCCTCAATAACATTTCAAGAATCAAGGCAGCAAACAGGAAACATGACGAAATAATCCTAAAAAGGAAAATAGAAAACGCAGAAAACAGACTAGGTTTCTCCTCCTTCTCGGACAGCCACTGGGCCCTTAGAAGGGTTGCCTGGCTGCAAGACTGGCAAGACAAACAGATATGCAGACAAGAATCCTGGCTCATATGCAAACGCATAGACAACATCCTACATAAGGACAAAAAGAACTCCGCACACTCAAACTGTCGCACGAAAAAAAGGCAAATCACCTTCCATGGTGGAAATCCTGCACCCCTTCAACTACACAATTCTCTCGGCAAGGTCGTCAGATTCTATTTGTGATTTCGTACGTATTTTCTACGAGAAGTTACTTACCTCAGAAAAACATTAGACGACATTATTATAGCGGAGGAGTGGGAAGGTCGCCGCTGGGGGACAGCCCGTAGTCTTCTCTCAACCCCGGAGCAAAAAGACCTAGAAAAACCAATCACGCTACTGGAACTGACTGTCGCAATGAGAAGCATGGCCAAGGGCAAAAGCCCTAGGCCCGACGGGCCACCAATAGAATTCTATGAATTATTTTGGGACACCCTCGCCCCGGATCTACTGAGGGTCTTCAATAATGTACTTCATGGCAATCCACTGGGATCCAGAACAACAGGAGTAACCACATTACTATACACGAAAGGAGACCGACGAGACGTAAGAAATTACCGCCCGATTTCCTTGATCAATGTAGCGGAGAAGATCTTGGCCAATCCTTGGCACGGCGCCTCTTTGGCTTAATGACCAAACAGGTCCACCCACCCCAGCCAGGTTTCATCCCTTGGAGGCAGGTCCTTGACAACGTTATGGCAATTACTCAAGCGTTAGACCTCATTAAGGCACAACGATCTAACATTGCAGTCCTTATCGATTTCGAAAAGGTTTACGATAAAGTGAACTGAAAATTTCCGTTTGAAGTCCTCCACAGAATTGGAATTGGCCCCAATTACTGTCGCTGGTTGGAAAACCTATACCATGGCTCACAAGGGAGAGTGATGGTGAACGGTTCTCTCTCCCATGCCTTCACAGTGACAAGGTCATTGCGACAGGGCTTCCCCTTGGCTTTCGCAGATGACTTATCGGCCATCATAGAAACTCAGTCTCCTCTCTATCAGCACTTCACGAATGCATATCTGTGTATGAAGCAGCCTCAGAAATGAAGGTGAGCTGGAGCAAATCCGTAGCCCTTACCCATGATGATTCACAACTGGCAATTGACTTCGGGATTAAACTGATCCCAGCCACAAAATCAGAAAGATACCTCGGCATCAAGGTATCTTTTGGAGACTGCAGCAAGGACCAGTCATCCGTAATTGACAACAAAATCCGAGACACATGTGCAAGATGCTCCGGTAGAAAAAACCTCTCCCTATTAGGGAGAGCACTTGTGGCAAACTGCTCCATCTTGTCCACTACCTGGTTCATCCTGGCCTTTCGCCAGATATCTGCCTCCTCGGCCAAACTGGTAAGGCAACTACTCACCAGATTCCTTTGGAAGGGAGATGCAAGCATCCCCTCTTGCATTAGCAAGGTCGCTTGGTGGAAACTTACAGAGAAAAAAATGGGATGGGGGCCTAGGTATCCTAGACCCTGAAATGCAGAACACAGCCTTGCTGGCCAAATGGACAGTACGCCTACTGACCTCACCAGAAAACCAACCTTGGATGCAGCTTGCGCAGGCCACACTGGCCAGGGAATAGGACCTATCCGACCATGACGCAGTCTGGCAATCACTCCTTTACTACCCCACTGGTCAAGTCAGTGAAGTCCCCTACTTGGGGACCAATCCTGAACGCTTGGGCCAAGATTCTTCCTTCCATTATCAAACCCCCATCTTCTCTC